TCTATTGCAGATTTCATCAGTTTGATTTGGGTTGTTATGAAGTTATGAACCAGCGAGATTTGAGATAACGTTATAGAGTGAGTTGATTTTAGATTCGCACCATTGAGTGTTGAGAGTAAGTATTTCTGTTCTTGTCATGAGTTCAACATTTTGTTTCTATCATGAGTTTTGTTATGAATTTGCAAATTTTACTTCTCTTGGAAAATGGTGATTTGGTGTTGTGAAAACTCATATTTTTATTGTGAACTCGCAAATTCCTATTGTAAACATATACTGTGTTTAATTATTGAAAATTGATTAAAATTAATACTTGAATGATGTGCACCAATGTATTATATATGGCTAGCAGTAGTGGAAAGCAATTATTTTGTATCTTTCATGCGAGAGGCGAATCTGTGAAGACCTTAAAAAGCAAAATGATACATGAAGTACTGCACTGAAATTGGCTGGCAACTATGTAAATGTAGAACAAATTAATCCACTTGCAAGTGGATGTATTTATGTTGTTAATAGGCGTATCCATGTTGCAAATATCCTAATTCTACTTTTGAATTGTCACTCTCGAAGTTGTAAACTATTTTGTTCAACTTTATGAATGAAATAAATCTATTTACAAATGGACATATTTACATTGCTAATGGGCATACCCATGTTGCAAATGTCCTAATTTTACAGTAGATCTCATATTTGTGACTTATTCTGTTTAACTTTATGAATAAAATAAATCCACTTGTAAATGGACGTATTTATATTGTTAATGGGCGTATCCGTGTTGCAAATTGTTCAATTCTACTTGTAAGTTGTCCCTCCTAGACTTGTGAATTATGTTCATCTTCTTCAATTCAACTAGTTCATTTGCAAATGGGCATATTCTTGTTGTCAGTATATGTATCTTTCTTGCATATTTTCTAATTTCAATTGTCAATATAGCAGCCACATTTCCAAAACATGAAGTTGTTAAGCACTATATCCTTCTTACAAATTTCCTAATTTCATTTGTCAGTAGTATATCATATACTTATAAACTAGTGGGGATAAGCAGAAGATTAGAATTAATTGACATGAAACATACTCATAATATATATTCCCTGAAACTAAAATTGTACAAATTTTATATGCACAAATTTGAACACATTCTAAAATAGTTTAAATTACATCTTGGATAGAAATATAACAATTTTATGTCATCACTTTTTCCTTGTTATGTCTTTACTTTGTATTTTTTCTGTAAGTAATACAATGAGCCATCACAACAACTCAGACTTTAGTACAGTGTGTTGTTCCTATGGCATAAAGATAAGAACCATGAATACATTCACACAGGTGCAACAATAAAAACTCAAAATAATCAATGAATTAATAAAAATTTAATTCCACTGCTACTAGTCATATATAATATGTTGCTGCACATCATTCAAGTATTAATTTCAATCATTTTTCAATAATTAAACACAGTATACGTTTACAACAGGAATTTGTGAATTCACAATAAAAATACGAGTTTTCACAATACCAAATCACCATTTTTCTGGCAAAGTAAAATTTGCAAATTTATAACATAACTCATGACAGGAACAAAAGTGCTTACTCTCAACACTCAATGGTATGAATATAAAATCAACCCACTCTATAATGTTATCTCAAATCTCGCTAGTTCATAACTTCACAACAACCCAAATCAAACTGATGAAATCTACAATAGAAGAAATAGAGAAGGATTTTACAGTATTATATACAGAAATTTTTAAATACAAATGTAGTAAAAGAGGTCGCGTACACACACACATGCACAGAGAGAGAGACTATGGTGACAGCAAGGCTCTTGTTACCATAATGGCACCGACGGCGAATGCTCTCCTTACCTAAACAACAACAATGGTGAATGATCTCTTTCAACCCAACAGTATTTTTTCAGACAATGAGAGAAAGAAGAGCTTGAGTTTCGATAGATTTAAGAGAGAGAGAGGGTAAAGAGCTTCAGGGTTACAAGTGAGGGGTAAAATGTCTTTTACTCTCTAAAATTAATTTCAGTTTGCCCCCAGGTCCTTCAATAAAATTTTAGAATTCTTAACTGAAATTTCAGATTTTTTTGGGGGCTGTTTAAAATTAATTCCCATCTACGGTCCTTAATCAAAATTTTTCCTTTTTTAAAACTCTATTTCATAACTGAAGGGAGTTTGGAACCAAAGCTGAGCAAGGAAGCTGCATTGGAATGGTCCAAGGAGGGTAGAGTTGGAGCTGATGAGTGTGGGACCTACAAAGTGGAATTCGAAGTTGACTCAGAATTTGGGATTCCTGGGGCAGTTACCATTATTAACAATTATGAAAGTGAGTTCTTCCTTGAAAGCATAACCGTCGAAAGATGTGTTCATTTTGCTTGCAAGTCTTGGATTTAGCCAAGTGCCCTTCATCCTCACAAGACTGCATTCTTCACAAATAAGGTGTATTTAGCTATTGATAATTTGATATTATACTTTTAGAATCCGCACTCACCATTTCTCTGATGAATTTCAGATTTACTCTTCTGATTCGTATTACTCTGCCAATCCTCAATATAATACTTATTTTGTAGTATAATTTACACTGCAAAATAAATATTATATTTAGAATCGGAGGAGTATAAGACATTTTTAGGAGAAATGGAGGATTCTTACAACATAAGTCACTAAGTGGGGTATTAATTATATTTTTCCAAAATTATTATGATTTAAAGTTTGATGCAATTTTTCATTTTAGTATCTCAAAATGTAAATCATGATTTTAAATATAGGTAAATATCATATTTATTTTATTTTCAAACAAATTTATTGACTTAACTACTTTACCTTGATTCTATGAGGTGATTGGAGGTGCCTTATAATATGTGGAGTATATACAATTAGTTACCGACTTACATGGTTGTGTCGGCATAAGTTGGTGATGATTTTAATCTTCACCCTTTGGTTCAAATTTAAAAAAAAAAAAAGGAAAATTATTTGTAGGAGTCAAGTAAGAAGATTAAATACAAATTACATACATCATATTTATTAAATTAATTCAAACAAGTCTCAAGGGATTTAATATTTAAAAGTTAAACTTGGAAATGACATAACTCAGACTTGTAAATATAAACCATTTGACTTGTAAACATTAATTTATAAGTTTGATTTATAGATGACGCAACTCGACTTATAAATATAAAAATTTGACTTGTAAATATTAAATAACTTGAGACCTGTTTTAAATTAAATTTCGGGAGCCTATTTATATTTAATTTTCTAACCAGGATCAGAATCTGTGGGTATTTTTTCCCAAGAAAATAAAGGAAATTGGTGGAAACAAGTTCACAAATATAAAGGTTTGAAAATTATTATCAAGGGTGTTTGTGTGTATGTAATATTTATTGTTACAGGATTGTCCTTTTGTATAAAGGGAAAGGGGAAATAAACAGAAAAGAAAGTTTAATTGGAGCCCCATGAGGACAAATATACAGCCAAAAGTCATATTTTAATTGATTGGAGGATAAATATGTAAATTGCTAAGAGGGTCATTTTTCAAAATCGAATGATATTTCTATACTACGAGCTGAGACTTTTACTGAAACAGTTCTGAACTTACTAGACTTTTATGTATGTTTTAATTATTGCGTTAATATATTGTAAACATTTTTAATTAAGGAATTGAGTTTCATTGTTAATCAAAATTAATTTGGATGGTGCAGATTTTAAACTTCTTTTTTTTTTATACATTTTTTACAATGATTTAATCTAATTGTGTGGGTGCTTTAGGAGATAAAACTAATATTCATGATCATCATAAACCTAATTTAACAGGCATATTTACCCTGTGAGACACCAAAAGGATTAAAGAACCTAAGAGAACAAGAACTGACGGAGATAAGAGGTGATGGCAAAGGAAGGAGGATTCATTCTGAAAACATATATGATTATGATGTCTATAATGATGTGGGTGATCCTGACAAAGGAGAAGAATATAAAAGACCAATGCTTGGTGGCTCCACCAACCCTCATCCTAGACGATGTCGTACTAGTCGTCCATCTACTACCACCGGTAAGCCTCGTACACCAATTGAAGTATAGTTATAAATATACCTATATAATTGTACTTTTGTATTAGTAATAAAACCCAACTTTGATTGACCAATTAGACCAATGAGTCGGGTCAAGAGTTTTAGATGGATTGATCAGACTGAATTTTATAATTTTTTATTTCATTACTAAGCTTGAAATTTTGTTGTTTTGAGTGAAATAAAATCCATTATATATTGTACATTAGTAACTATATTTTGTTGAATCATGTGTGATTTATACATATAGATGCCGCATTACTTGTGGATTAACGCTTTTCTTATTTAAATATTATTCTTTTTTAGGGTTATATATATAAATGAATATTTTGTATATGTTTTAATTATATTATATTATATTATTTTAATTTGATTGGGTTAATCTCGATTAAACCACTGACTCTTAAATCATTGCCGGGTCAGATATAATGATATTATTATCTAATTATTTGTCTAAAATTAAAATTATATTTATGTCTTGATTTCAAATGTAATTCTCCCTAAATGATAAACTTTTTTGTATCATGTGCATTTGTGATCATTACATGGCGTATAACTACACACACACACTACCTCTAATTTTTAATATAAAAGCTCAACTTTTATTTTAATTCTAAATATAAGATCTCAATTCACTTTGTTTCTTATATTTATCTATTTTTTCAAGGTAATCCCTATAATAATGATAGTTCTAGCCAATACACTTAATTGGTATGGATATTTTTGAAAAAACAACATCTATTTATTACAAATAACTAACATAACTAATTTTCTTAATCTACTCAAATTAGTCAACTAACACTTATATTAAAAATCGGAAGCAGTATATCTGTGTGTATGCATGCGTTCCTTTCTTTTATTTATTTATTTTATATGCCAATTGTATGAACAGGCGTGACAGCAGAATCAAGGTTGCCTGAGTTCGAATCAAGATATGTTAAGGGATGAGGAATTGGAGGATTCAAAGAAAGAAACTGTTGACAAAGGAAAATTCAAAGGAAGTCTCGGGAATATTGTTCCATCTTTGTTAGATAACATTTCTGACAGTGACGAAGTCTCAGAAATTGACAACATCTTTAAAGAACCATCAAATTTTGGAATGATGAAGTCCGCAAAATCACTGCCCAAGATTTTCAATAATTTGCAAGCCGTCATTGATGAATTTCTCAAATTCTGTCCTCCAAAGATATCTTCAAGTAAGTAAAGTACTTGATACACACACACACACATATAATTAGGTGCAATTGTTTGAATCCATAATTACAAATCATTTTTTAGAAAATTTTGTAAATAACCACACTGTTATTAAATCAATCTTTTAGGAAATGACTTTTATTGTCGCATCTTTTTATATAGAAATTAGATGATACTTAAAAGGAGCTTTATATTTTTCAGGACGCACATCTTATTTTTTACGAGATGATGAATTTGCGCGCCAAATGCTTCCTGCTATAAACCCTCTGAGCATCGAAATACTTAAGGTAAGTGTATAATAAGCATATTTCATTTTCCTCATACAAGCAGAAAATATCTTTTATACCAATAATTTGATATCTTCACACAAAGTTACTGTTAATTAAAATTACATGTTGCCATCAACCTGTGTCCACTTTTGTTATTAGAATTTGAATGCGAGTTGCTTTCCTAATTAACTGCCATTTTTCCAATAGGAATTTCCACCTAAAAGCAAGCTGCATCCCTCTATGTATGGTCCGCTAGAATCAGCAATCAAGGAAGAGCACATCAAAAATCTAGGTAGATTCTCAAGCCATTGGAAGTTATCGCCAAAGCAATAACCTGGCACATAGCTTATGAATAGAGAGGCTGCCTATTCATTTTACAACATATTATATATCAAAATTGAGTACGTAATTATTTTGTTTAATTTACGTAAACCTGTTATATCAAGTGTATGTATCAAACAATAATTCATGTTGATTGATTTGAAGCCCAAAAGGTCCATTAAACCATTTCTCCAAAAAGGGACAAGGGTTATTTTTCTCTCAAAAGTTTTCACAAAAAAGTTGTGCGTATTTAGAAGTTTTTTAATGTTAATGTCATCCTTGAAGTATTAAGAACGTAGGAATCTCATCCTCTTCTAACATCAAACAACGTTGACAGTTAAATCTCCATCTTTCACCAACTTTATGTTGATGTGGTGCTCCACCATTTTTAATTATCAGCTTAAATTTCATTTATTTAATTTATAATAAAAAGTAAAAATTATTTTCTTATGTTAATCATTAAAATTAAAATTATGTATATGTATAATTTTGTGTTAAAAAAATTGTAGATTTATTGCAGTTGAACTGATAAAAACTTAAACAAGCACACACGACATGAAGAATTCGAGCCATGGAAAATTTGTCGAATTTGACTTTTCCAAGATTCGAACCCTTGATCTCATGTACCCACACTTAAGTTTTTACCAATCGAGCTACAATAAATCTTCAATCTTATAATATATATAATATAATACTGTTACAAGCTAAACATCAATTATACATCATTTTAAGTTTAATTATTAATATGACAAAATGATTTTATATATTTATATTATTGTTTATTTTATAATTTTTATTCATACAAAAATTATTTTAAATATAATATTAATTTCAAAATAAACAAATTTCAAATTTAAAATCTTAAGTATTTTTTATAAATATAATTTTTGCTAATTTTTTAAATTTAATTTTTATTTTAAACTAACATTGATTAAGTATTATATATATTATACTATAATATACCTATCTGTTTTTTTATATATTTGAGGAAAACCATTTACAAATAATGAAAAAAATCTAATTATAAAAAATAATTATCATAATAAAATTTAATTAATATATAAAAAAAATTAAATGATTTGAATATATTATAATAAATAATTTTATTATACAAAATCAATTAAGTTAATGACATTATTATAAGATTTAATTTCAGTGTTCTGTATTATGAGTTATTAATTATATCATGATTAAATTTCATTATTTGATTATTCAAATTCAAAACTCCTATAATTTTAATTGAAGGTGTTCATACAAATCAAGTTGTCCATTTTGGATTTCTATGATGTATTACAGTAATGCAATTATTATTTGTTTTATTAATTTTCATAAAAAAGCTATTAATATTCTTATCTTATTTGCTTGTTTAATTAATGATCAAGAGAAATTGCTTTTAATAAAATATACAACAAGATTTTTTGAGAAATCATGTCTTCGACTTCCCATCTCGACAGTCAATGTTTGATCTTGAAATCGATGACGACGACGCCGTCGCCCTTAATAACACCAACTCCATAATGTTGGAAATTGTGCTCTAGGGGCCAATTATTATGTTTTAAACATTGTTAATTTATGAATTTATTAATTACGTTATCATATTATTTGCATGTTTACTGTGATGACTATCCTTGGATAACTCATGGTTTATCCTAAATGTCCCTGATCGGTCATCTATGTGGGAGCAAAGATGAAATAAGACCAGTATGACTTTAAAGATATATAGAGATATAAATTAAAGTCATAGGCACATGTAAGAGTACAAGGTGTTGGACCGACCCGCTATGAGAGAGCTGCATGGGTTAAGTCATAAGCTTATCTCTTATATAAACCATGTCACTGTGCCCTTTGACCTGAGATCATCATGGATTCTTACATGAGAAACGCTTAGCTTTGACCTAGTCAAAAGTCACTTTTGACCGAGTGATCATAAAGACTATGTTTAGGCTTAGTGGTTTTTCATGCGGAGGAATGTGAATGGTCAAGATGGAATTTGTCCCTCACATTCGTAGAGAGATATTACTGGGCCCCTCGATGAGTGAGTCTGAGAAATGTATGGCCATACTATAATGGAAAGGTAGTTCCGTTTCTATACTCAGACTACTCAAGGATCGAGAAAGTAACGGTCATGAATAGGAGGATGACATTCTCCATGCCTCATCCATGACCAAAATGTCGTGTGACAAAAGGGACGCGATATGGTTCTATGAAAGGTTACATCATTCAACGATCCTCATATGATTTGGGTAGTCGTGATGTCTTGCTAGAGACCGCTTACGACTTGTGAGTCATTATAGTTAATGGCCCACTGCCAACTTCATATGGGCCTACAGGGTCGCACACAAAATAGCCCAACACGAGTTATGATGTCCAGATTCATTAAATCTAAGATATGTCCAGATTCAATGAATAATATAGGGTGGACGTGTATATATATATATAAATTCGTATATATATATTATATAAATATAAGAGATATTAATTGTTAGATTTAATTTATAAGGATAAATTAAATATATATAAATTAATTCCGTCATATCTTTATTTTGAATTAAATAAATAAGTGAATTAAATCTGTGAGACGGATTTAATATAAACCATATTTATTTAATTGTTCTCTTATCTGATTAGGCAATATTTGATATTGTATTAATTTCGGAATTAATTTAGGATTAATTTTGAAATTAAATATCATTCATTAAACCTATAGCATCCTATATATTTGATATGAGGAGCTAGGGTTTTAAGCGTGAGAGTACCAGCAGATAAGAGACGGCCTAAGAGAGATAAGAGTGGACGGATTCTCTGAAAACCCTAGACGGACAAAAAGGGCGCTAGCACGCCGTTTGTAACTGGAGAGCTATTCGTGTGGATACCGGTAGAGGAAGCCGACCGGAGTTGTCGACTTCGAACGACAAAGGAGGTGAGCAGAGGCATCCTAAACGGCGGAATCACCGAGCCACCAGGAAGTCGAACACCGAAGGTAATGCTTCTTACTACCTGACTTAAACGCGATCGGTAAATCCGGGCAAGGGATTGAAAGTTTTAAAATTTTAAGTTGATTTTCCGCTGCACGTCGTCTTTCAAGCGTGTTTAATATATCAATTTATTTTGTAATTCAAAATATATTTGTTATATGTGAATTTAAATTTTCATTGTTAAGAACCAGTATTTATCTGCATTTTAATTTAGCTTTCATAAACCTCTTTGAAGCCGTAATGCTTTGTCATTTTCTTACCTAATGGATGAAACATGAAAGGTCTTGACTATTAAACACGCTTAGTGTTTTGTTTTTGTTTTTTTTTTGGGGGGGGGGGGGAAGCTTAGAGTGATTTTAATTGAATATACGGTAAGCTTCTGTCTATTGCCCTCCAGTGTCATTTGTTCAAAATTCTTACAATAATTTTTTAATTATTATCAACTACTAATAACCCTTTTGAAATTTTTCCAGTTAATATTAAACAATATAAATAAAGCACTAAGCATTTATTCAAAAGATAAATTAATCAAGAATTAATGTGCAATTTTGCTCCAAAAGTTTTCATATAAAAACTGTTGGTATTCAAAAGTTTTTTTTTTCTTTAGAATCAATATCACCCTGAAATTTTTAAAAGGGAGCAATCTTACCCCTAACCATTAAAAATATTAATGATCAACATTAACTTTTAATAGTTAAGGTGATTTTGCTCCTAACACTTCCGAGAGGATATTGATCATAAAAAGACTTGTAAATACCTCCAGCTCCCATGTAAAAACTTGCCGAGGAAAATTGAACTTTCACCCGTTAATCATTTTGTCCTCATGGGGCTGACTATTCATTTGATAACATATTATATATCAAAATTGAGTACATAATTATTTTGTCCTCTTATGGAATATATGTTAATTAATTTGAAGCCCTAAGGCTCCATTAAACCGTTTCGCAAAAAAGGGACAAGGGTTATTTTTCTCTAAGAAGATTTCACAAAAAAGTAGTGCATATTTGGAATTTTTTAAAGATTAATATCATCCTTGTAGCGCTATAAAAAAAAAACATGTGATTAGTAATGGAATTTTTTTCATTGCTAATCAGTAAAGAAAATTTTTTGTCACTAATTTTTGATGAAAATTTTTTATCCCTAATTAGTAACGGAATTTTGTTGCTAATTTAGTGACATAATTTTTTTCGTTACTAATTTTGTTACTAATCTAATTTTTTTAAAAAAAATTAAAATGCCACATGACTCCTCCATCAGCTGTCACCTCATCGCAAGTGATGACTACTGGCTACCTCACCTCCACATATTACTGCCACCTCATATGCGTTCATAGATGCATGGAACCATTCATAATAGCCACACATAGCCAATTGAGTATGATGCATCTAGCTAGTGTTCATGCTTTTACACCCTCACATGAGATACACTTTGAAGCTAAATGCAATAGCTCATGAGAAACTTAATGCAGGAGGCATAATTGAATCAGACTTCACTCTTGACAAATATTGCATATAAATTAGTTGTGCTACTTATAGAGACTGGTGGCGCTTTGACCTTGACCCTCTTCCTACTGATCTTCTTAAAAGGTACATAACTCTTGAATTTTAAAATTTCTTTATGATAATATTCTAAATTCCATTTATGTGAAATTTCATCTTCATGCTCAGAGGTGTGGCAGCTCCTGATGTAAGCCAACCACATGGAGTTAGGCTATTTATTGAGACTATCCATATCCATTTGATGGGCTCTTGATATGGTTAAGCACAAAGGAGTTGATTCAAACATACGTAAATTATTATTATAAAGATTCAAAAACAATTTCTTCCGATCAAGAGCTCCAATCATGGTACAAATAATCCATAAATATGGGGCATACTGATCTTAAAGATGCTCCATAGTGGCCAAAACTTGAAACTCCTAAAGATCTTATGTTCATACTCTCCACAATAATTTGGATTGTATCATAACAACATACTGCTTTAAACTTTGGACAATACCTTTTTAGAGTTTATGTTCCAACTCTTCCACCATTAATGAGAAGACTAATGAGAAGACTGATTCCTAGTGAGAATGATGCTGATGACTATGCAAGTTTTGTGGCGAATCCAAAGAAGTACTTTGTGTCATCATTACCAAGTTTATTTCTGGCAACAAAGTTTATGGTTGTAATTGGTATAATTTCAGCACACTAAACTGATGAAGAATACATTGGAGACAGAAACGATTAGTTAGGTTGGGTAGGGGATCCTCAGATAATTGATGCATTCTATGAGTTTTTAGTGGAGATAAGAAGTATTGAGAAAGAGATTGAGAGAAGAAATAGTGACCCACAGCTGACAAAGATATGTGGTGCTGGAGTTTCACCATATGAATTGCTCATTCCAAGTTAAATCATGTCCCCCCTACGCCTTGTATGCACCACATTTGTAGCGATTACAAGAAAGTGCAGCGACAAGTATGAACTGCTCTTTCCAAAGCTCTTTAAGTTTTGAATAGTATGATGAGACAGAGAGTGCACCCTATTACAATGAGCTAGTTTCCTGATAGATAGCTTCAAATTGTTTTTTAAGGTCCATACAAACTAGTTGCGCATCTTGATAGTAGACTACGCCATTCTTCAATTCCCTTGATAGTGAATTCAAAATCCAAGATAAGACCACTGCGTTGAATCTTTCCCGTTGGTCTTAAAGCTTGTTGTCTTCCAAATCTTTAGTACACGATCGGTCGATGAACCCAATCTTATTCTTTCCTCTAAGATCGATTCGCAGAGCCCTACTCCACAATGTTTAGTTCTTACTTCCCATGAGAATGTAAGTAATAATGGTTGTTCCCTGCATATCAGAAGGGTAAATAAAGAACGGATTTGTGAAGCTCAATGCAAACGCCATGGAATCATTGGTGGATTTGCCACTCATCATTCTCTACCACGGAGGGGGATGTTAGCTGCCCTTGGGTGCTACCCACTGCTGCTCCTTAATTTTGGAGTTCTTTCCAAATTTTTTTGCAATTCTTTTTATTATTAGATTCTACATAAAGTGAGTGTCATTTTGATATCTTATTTGCAAAAAATAGTTTAGTTTTCAAATTTTTATGATTTTTCAAAAATTTAGCATGGTTCAATTTCTTTTTAACTTAGCATGCAAAATATTTAAAAAAAATCACAAAAAAAAAAAAAAACTAAACCATTTTTGTAGATAAAATAACAAAATGTCACTTATGTAGAATTTAATGATAAAAAAAAATCATAAAAAAATATCCAGAAAGAACACTAAAATTAAAGAGGAGCAGGGGCAGCACCCAAAGGGCTGCTGAACCCCCATTGTCTCTCCCCGTCACGATAATATTTCTCTGAACTCGCAAGACGCGATCTGTACCTGCCCTAATCACTAAAGCAAAAAAAAACACTCAATTGATGGAATGGTTCTAGGCCATGAACCTTGGGCTCTAAAGCCACGATAAGGGTTGCCCAAGAAAATGGAAGAACCAATTCAACGATGAATTTGAAAATCCATACATAGTACAGGGCCACCGAGTCCAATATTACATTGAGTAGAAAGTGCTAA